TCCTCATTTTTTCTATGACAACATGCTCTTCTGTCAATTTTGGTAATGCTCTATAACCCATATCTTCATTACTCTTGTCAGCAAAGTATAAATTGTATAAGAATTTCCATGATGCTGTATACTCAGTGTTATTTATAGTAAATTTGACATCTTTCGTTAATAAATTATTCCGAATGCACTTTAGCAAATGTGGTGGATCATATATATGCACAACTTCATGCCCATCATTTATATATCCTTCACTGCGGTTTTCTAGTCCTTGCCTTAAAAATGATATTGATGTTTCACGTTTTAATATATTGATTGCAGCAACATTGGTTTTTCCTTGATCGGATAAAGTAGCGACCAGATTTAATCCTGTTGTAAGTATACTTTGAATGACTTGACGGATACATTGCACCAAATCAACAGTTTTTGTGGTTCCTTGGACATAATAATAGCAAATATGCTGTTTAAATTTTTTCTTCAAACCACGGACCATAAACACTAATACATGGTCTGCTAACTTGAAATTTCTTTGGTTTGATCCTAAATCTTCAAAACCAAAAACACTATCAACATGTTTGTCATATGTTAATTCTGGTTGCAGTGACATTTCATCAAACATCAAGCAACAAGTTCTGTCCATTCAATTTAAATGTTTCACTCTATTTTTTATATGATCAATTATATGTTGATTTATTCCAGGCAAAAAAAGAAAATTTTTTAACAACCCCATTATAGTTTTTTGACAGGGCAATGAAAATATTGTTGAAAGATATCTATATGCCTTTGGACTTTGCTTGTAGATTGAAAGAGCTAAGATCTTGTCGTCTAAAGTAAATCTTCGTCCCTGGACTTTCTTTGATTGGTTCTTGACTTGAGACATAATGAAACCGTAAGTTGTTTTATCAACTTTATTAAAAAGTTGGATAAGCGAATCATCTTTTGAAAATTTGTGAGCCATTCTTGCCTTACTCTTATATGTTTTAACTTTTTTTGAACAACGACTTAATTTTTTACTTAATTTTATGCTAGACAAGTACAACTTTTTACAGTTAGGTGTTAACTGAACTTGCCGTTTGGCGTTTATAACTCCTAACAACGATGTTTTTAGTTTTGCTGGCACTTCTTTTGTTGTGTCTTCATAATTTACAGTCTTATAAACATTGAACAAATTCTTCTTGCAGCCAAATCCTTAAAATAGATATTAAAATTAATGTTCAATAAAACATAATATTAAGTTGTTTACATATTTTATGTAAAATAATCTTAACTGTTTGACATACTTTGGTTTACATTTTCTGACATCACTGTTGATGAATGGCCGTTAGAATTTTGAATTTGCAGAGCATTATTGGATGCTGATGATGTTGTTTCCATTTGTTCAATGCTGTTTAATACTGGCGGAAATACTCTATTGGACCAATTTAATGTAGTTTCAACTGATTCAACTATAAATAAGCAAATTGAATATTAAATCATCAAATACATACACACATACATACATACATACAGCACAAACATAACTTACAAACATACATACATATTAGGTTAATAAATAGAAAAAAAGTATATAAAATTAGATATTATTAATACATAGTATTATATTACTAACAAACATTTATACATACATTACATACATTACCTACAAACACAAGCAATGACACTAATCACATAGAAAATAATAGTTCAAAATAAAATATGAGTAAGTTTAAGGTATTATTACTTTGTTAAAATGTTAAAATAAACAAATTATTCTAAATATATGCACCTATAAAACCAAAGAAATTAATAATAATATATACTTTAATTAACTCATAAAGAAATATAAGACATTATCATATTTATATATACATACTTTTGCCAGATTATATTGATACAACATTGAACATAAACATGCTAAACATACATTAAGGACAAAATGTTACGTGGAAGATTTAAAGTTGGAAGGGATCGGTATTTTAGTTTATTGTTTGTTCCAGGGACCAGGACTAATACATATGGTTTCAAAATGTTTTCCACAAATTTGATATGTTTTCCTGATCTTTTCCTTTGAGAGACTATGTAGGAGAGGATTAGCAGTTCTTTCTACCCACATCGCAAAGTCCAACTCATTAATGGGGAATAAATATTTTCTTTTATCTGAATTCAAACAGCCTTTAACAACACATTTGTTAGAAACCATGCTGAAATTCAAATAAAATAGGTGTTTATTTTTGATCATACTACATCGAACTTATACATTTGTCAATTAAAACTTAAAAGTCACTAACCTTAAGTTTGTTTATCTTGGTATTTGCCTATACTTGTCTTGTTCTGACGTTGGTCTTTATCTGTGGGTGGTCGGTTTGAGCTTTAAATTACAGACAAAGTACAAAACTACAAACTCCATAAATAAAAATAAATGAAAATATAACGCCATGTAGCCATGGACTTAAGATTATAGCCTATAGGTAATGATAATGATTATTTTTTTTATCTATGGTAATGATAATAAATGAGAATAAAATCAATGGTGATAAAAACCGACTACCAGCGCTTTTGTGTTTATCTCCACAACTACTATTGAAGAACGGTTTTCAATAGGTATAAGTTCATACCCCCTGTCGGGAGACGGGTGACTGTGGCACTGCAGGCATAGATTAAACATACATAGATAGCCAAAGCCGTGTGACGGTTTGGTAATAACTTTCGTTCGGAAATATACCCTAGAATATTTAGTTTGTACCCGACTCGTTAGGAGCGCTGGTTTATTACCGGCTAAATCGGTACTGAGGCGGCTGGCGGTCGACGGAGCCGCCGTCTGCCGTGTCTGCGTACTGCACTACTTCCTAATTCCTATTAATTGCTGTTAGTTAATAGCATAGAAAAAATAAGTATGCTTAATAGGACTACCCAAATCCCAATACGTCATAGGATAATGAATAACGAACACATCCACATATCTACTTTCGGAAATAGAATTACGTATAATTATGTACTGTATCGTCAAATAATTGTATGGTTGAACTTGACCAGCTGAGCATAAACATTGTCATTTGTTGTATTGTTGTTTAATTATTTATAACATTATAATGGCTCGGAGAAATAAATGTGTAGATACTTCAACTGCTTTAGAAGTAAAGTTGAAGAACCTAGACCCTAGTTTAACATTGTTTCATTTTCCCAAAAATGATCCTATTCGTGCACAAGAATGGGTTAAAAAATCAGGCCAGTAGTATATTGATGAATTAGTCTAGGTATATAAATACATTTACAATAGGAACTTAGCAAGAAGCATTAATTTATAAAATATAAAATAATTTTAAATATAATATTAATTATTATGAAACCAAAGGTGGGCATACCAAGTAAAAAATTATTTTTTAAAACTTTTTAACTTACCTAACTACCTAGTTAGTAATTCATTTTGAATTACCATTGATTTTATAATAATATGTTATAATAGCGTACATTATAAAATCAAAGTAATTATGTAATCACTTAAAAATTTAACTAGGTACCTATTGGCTATTAGTATAAAACAATGTTAAAAAAACTGAATAATGCTATGTTTATATTTGTTAAATTAATAATTGACTATGAGATATGTATAAGGGGAATTCCCCTAGTCTGGAAATATTTACTTGGACTCTTTATTGTAAAGTTGTGCCCCTGTGTTCACTTAACTTGAGTTAACTATTTTTATTAATTTAATTACATTTTTATTTTCTAATTAAATTTGTTCTGGTTTTTTTTTCTCAAGGAAATATAGACTTAACTATTTTAACTCATGAAGAACTTTCTGCAAAATATGTTTGTGCTCACCATTTTTCTAAATGTGACATTAGACACTAGACAGGCAGGTAATCGTGTCATATTGCATAAGACAGCCATCCCCCAAAAATATAATATTGACAACTCTTCTTATGAACTGCATCAATCTACAATGTTTCGCTGGCGCCATTGCGCTATTAGACAACTTTTCCCCACAAACCACACAAAGGGGAATTTGACAATCATTTTCGTCAACATAAGTGAACCCAAAATTTAAATAATCGTTGCAATATTGTCTATTGACCTTTTTTATTTTATTCTCATCATTGACATTGCTTGTATTCGTACTTGCATTATCAGTACCAGAATCATGTTTCCGTTTAAGAAATTTGTCCATTTTGTTATTAAAATGGTCGTTACAAATTTATAACTTTTATTAGTGCAGAAAATAAAATTGTCAATATCTATACGTATGTTATCGCAGTATGGTGGAGATTATCGTATAATATAATAATAATAATGTATATTAATATATTATATAGTATACTGACACATTATATTATTCGAAAGTTAACGATAACGTTTTTGTGTACAAAAATAAACCAACAAAACCTAAAATGATTCTATTTTGAAAGAATTTAGAATTTTTTTTTTTCACTGATTTTAAAATTTTGGCGGAACACTTATACGAAGTCCACGGAACACCGGTTAAGAACCACTGATCTACATCATCAACACCATCACGAACAGATCCTTTATTAGAAAATACTCTAGACACTGATGATGAAATAGATTTAAATGTTTTAAAACCGACACACACATATCAAAATAGTTCACCAGAAACACCAACATTTTATTTTTCTCAAACAAATTCAAATAACACTTTAGAGGAAGAGATTACTCTTCGAACTCAAAAAAATGGCCATAGTAAAACTTCAGCAACGCCTAATGTATCACTTTCATCACGATAATTTATACAGGAAATTATAAATATACCAGCTCCAAAAAAGTGCCAAAATTCTCAGCCTATAAGTTTCTCAAGTAATGACAATCCTGATAAAATTATTGTTGAAACACCAACTAAAAGAAAAATGAGAAATGTGATAGAAATTAAAAAAAAAAAATTAAATTGTAAATCATCAATGGTATGCAAACTACAAACTAAACTGTTTAATGTAAGAAATAAATTAAAAATTTCCAATAAATTTAAAAATAAAATAAACTATAGAAGTACTAATTGTAGAGTACTTTCTGAAAAAAAAATGCAAATGTTTCGAGTAAATAAATCTAGAAAACCGTGGTCAGTTGAAGAAAAGCAATTTGCGATTTCGCTTTTTTATAATACACCTGGAACATTTTTGAGAAATGTACAAAAAATTAATTTACCTAGTTTAAGTACTATTAAAAGATGGATTGGTAGTTCAAAGTTTTCACCTGGTTTTATAAATAGTTATATGGAACAAATAAAAATTAAAGTTAACGCGATGGATAATGAACAAAAGTATTGTGTCATTGCTTTTGATGAGATGTCCATAAAAAAATATTTGGAATATTCTAAATACTTAGATGTAGTTGAAGGTTATGAGGATCTTGGACATAAAGGAAGAAATGACAAAGTAGCCTCTCAAGCGTAAGTATTTATTGCCCGAGGCTTATACTCAAAATGGAAATTACCTCTTGCATATTTTTTATCTGCTTCGTCAACTGGATGTCTTGAATTAAAGAATTTAATAAGTGATGTAATTGAAAAAGCTTTAGAGGTAGGATTAATTGTTACTGCTATAATATGTGACCAAGGTAGTAATAACCGTGCTGCTCTAAAACAATTAGGATGTACCAAGAAATCTCCTTATTTTGAAGTAAATGGTAAAAAAATATTTTCCATACTTGATATACCTCACATTTTTAAAAACTACAGAAACAATTTTTTAAAAAATAATTTAGTTTTTGATGGCAATGAAATATCATTTAGTGACATAAAGACAGCCTATGAAATAAATAAAATGAGTGGAACAATTAGAGCATTTGCTAAAAATAACTGATAGTCATATTAATACAGGTCCTTTCCAAAAAAATTAAGTGCAAACTCGCTCTTCAACTTTTTAGTAACACTGTAACTGCGGTTATCAAAACATGTGTAACTACAGGGGCCTGTTTCATAAAAAAGACAAGTCGAAATGGACCATACGTAAACTTGTACATTTCATTCACTTGTTAACTTTGTGTTTCATATAATATACAAGTTGACAAGTTGACCTATGACAAGTGACAATTGACAAGTTAAAGAAAACCTGGAAAATATTGTAAAAAAACTTGTTTTTTGTTTCATAAACAACAATGATTTGTAAAATATATTGAAAATATGATAACAATTTGACTAGTCCCTGAAGTATAGTTTTTAAGTGACAATTATTGTTATTAATATTATTTCATTATATTATTCTTCAACATTTAGAGAACTTTTTTTAAAATGTGGTCATCTTCATCATCAAGTTCTTCTGACGGCGACGACGAGAATATTATCATTCGTCGAAGAAGAATATTCCGTCCAAGAATTAATAATAATTTTATGGCTGAATATGAATACAACGAATGGTTCAGAATGAACTCAGTGAAGTTGGAGTACATTGTCAGCAGTATAGGGCATCTTCTAGTTCATCATACAAACAGAAATCATGCATTATCCCACATTCAACAAGTAAATTTATGCTTACATTTTTTGGGAAGTGGTACTCAGTATCACTCTATTGGTGATATGCATGGTGTATCAAAAGCTACTGTTTGCCGTGTAGTGAGAAATGTGACAAAAGCCATAAATGAGGTACTTTTTCCACAATTGGTTCGATTTCCAAATGATTTGGTAACTGTTGTTCCACATTTCCATAGTATAGCTTCAATACCCTTAGTTGTAGGTTGTGTTGATGGGACGGTAATTAAAATTGACGCGCCATCGATAAATGAACCGGTGTTTGTTGATAGACATGGAAATCATTCTGTTACGTGTACAGCAGTTTGTGGACCGACTATGCAATTTTATTATGTAAATGCAAACTGGCCAGGCTCAGTACATGATGCTAGAGTCTTACGCAATATATCATTATGGGCTAAAATGGAATCAGATTGGAGACCAATTGAAAATGGGATTATACTTGGCGATAGCGCATATCCTTTAAGAGATTGGCTAATACCACCTACTATAAGAAACCCAAATGATGCAGCAGAACTGTCATTTGTTCGACGTCATAAAAAAACAAGACGAATAATTGAAAATGCATTTGGAATTTTAAAAGGAAAGTTTCCATGCTTAAATTACATGAGACTTGGACCAGAATTGACCTGCAATATATTTCAAGCATGTACTGCCTTATGTAATTTAGCTAGAGAAAATGATGAAGATATTATGTTGGAGGAATTTGAATTTTGAAAACAACAGTAGCAATGATGAATTAAGTGATGATGAACCAGACAGAGAATTACAAAATGTTCAATTAGGGAATGGAGAACATAGGTTGCAAGAGATAATTAACAATTTTAGATGATTTCATATTTTCATCATACTTAAAATATATTTGTAGAACACTAGAATGTAGAAGTATAAAATATAAATGTAGTATGTAGGTTGTAGGTACAACCGTGATTGAAAATTTCGGATTGATAAACCGAAATATTATCATACACTGCTTATCGGGCTTGTAAAAATAAACAGCTGACTTGTAAATCGTTATTTATTTGACAAGTCATTTTCGACTGGAGTACATTTTTATGAAACAATGCTGTATTGGACTTGTCTGTTTTTACATGTTACTTGTCACTTGTAATTTTCAAACTTGTTTTTTTTTATGAAACAGGCCCCAGGACAGATTAAGTCTATGACAGGTGCATATACAGCAAATTTTTTAAATCATATGAACGATTTGTTTGATTGCTTAAATAGCAAATGTTTGTATAGCTCCAATCCTAAAATGTGTGCATTATCTGAAGAACGGCCTAGCCAAATCCAATTTTTAAATGAAGCAAAAAGATTACATGAAAATATAAAATTAGTTAAACCTAATACAAAATATGGGTATCGTCTACCGTGTTTTGATGGTTTAGTGTGGTCAATTAATAGTATAACAATGTTATATTCACAACAAAAAAACTTGCAGTTCACCTATTTACGAACATCTAGACTCAACCAAGACTCTGTAGAAAATACGTTTGCACTATTTCGACAACGTGGAGGATACAACCCTAATCCTACAGCTCTGACATTTAGATCTACGTTTAGTATTCAAGCAAAAAACAATTTATTTAAAGCATCAGAACTATATAACTGTGAATCAGATATGGATTCAAATTTATTGGCTCATAAATCTGATTCTGATTCACTTTTAAATTATGTAAAAGAAAGTGATTCAGATTATACTAGTACTTTAAACGTTGATGATGAGCCATTCACTAATACTAATGATAATCTAGAAGAAGAGAATTGTGAGATATCATTAGAAATGTGGGCGAATGCTTATTTTGCTGGTTATCTGGGTAAATCTTGTTTTGATCATTTTAAGTGCTTAAAACGTGTAGATAAATTTTTTAAATGAGATAAGAACTTAAAATTATTTGACAAACATGAATTTTTAATTTTTTATAAAAATTAGAAGTCAAAAGAAATAGATTCAAATTCATGTTTTTTAAAGAGGCCTACTGAAAGTTTAATACATTTTGTTAAGAATGCACAAATAATGTTGAAAAAACTGGTTGAACAAAAACCACACAGAAAAAATATTGCACCCTTTATAAATAAGCAAATAACTAATAAGTATTTAGTGTCTTTTAATTTAGATAAAAGCTGTATTGAACATTTTGATTATTTACTAACTAAATTAATCCATGCCTAACTGCTAAAAGATTTTAATTGAAAGTCTAGGCATTTAAAACAAATTAAAGAGACATCCATCAATTCACCAAGAAAATTAAAAATTTTAAAAACCATAACACTATTAAAACAAATCAGCTTGAGTACATTTTTATTTTTTATTTACATTTGTACATTGTAATTTGCAAATATAAATATATATATATTTTTTTTTGTTGAATCTGCAGTTTATTTGAATCAAGTCTATCAAAATCTATATTATTATAATATTTGATTATTATATTATTCATTATATAAGATAGGTAGGTATAATTAGTATTAATATTTGACATAATATGAAGATGTAAAATTTGTTGATAATTTATTTATATACTATACTGCATTAAATATTGTTTACCTAATGTATAATCTAATATTTAACAATAGCTACTTATATTAATAAAATTCATTACATGTTTTTTCATTTTTCTTTTGTTGATTTTGGTTCATTCTGGATTGTGAGCCGAGGAATGGATTTATTGATTTTACAATAATGTGTTTTTTTTATTTATTTTGTGTAATATCAATTAATATTGACAGTAAAAATTTAAAATTTATTCCGACTGATGCATCAAGCAAGTATTGAAAAATCTAAATCCGTTTTCAAAACTTATGTCGGATGACGCATTCTAGAGTATGGTTAAATTTAGAATGTGTTATTTTCAATCAAAAACGGGCTGGTGTAGAGGCCCCTTAATAATTTTATAAAATTATTCTTTGGTCACTATAAGATTCTTGATAATATTATAATTTTTATATATCCTTATCACAAAATGTCCCATAATGTTGTATTATCTATGACATTACCACACTGTCCACACTTTTACCCACGATTAAGGATAACAGATTAAATGATATTGTTTTTCGTTATTTGTTAACTCGTTATTCGTTTTTAAGTTTTTAAATTTTAACTTAGAAATGAGAATTTAGATGGTTAGGATTTTAGATACTTAGATGTAAGTATATTCAAGGTTTTTAAAATTATATATAATGGATTCCTGTTCTGACCAAGATCAAGAATCTCAACCTGGACCATCGACTCCTAAAAAAAAAAGAGCTCAACGTAATGAACTTACCAAAGAAGAAATAATGAGAAATCAGAATAAACTATTTAGACATGGATGGTTAAACTTAAAAGATTTTAAGTATTGGCTTCAAGAATTACCCAATGACAAATCTAAATGCAAAGTGAGTTAGAGAAGCATAGTCAAGGAAACAAACCTATATTGAACGTAAAGGGATTGAGGGAACACCAAGTATGGACATTTTCTCACAGAATCCTAAGTCAGTCGAAAAAATAAAATTAGAAACCGATGTCAAACGTGCGGAAATTAAGTTAGCTGCTTTTTTTGCAAATCATAATGTTGTGTTCCAAGCAGTTGATACCTTGACACCTATCTTACATGATTCAAAAGTAGCACAAGGTATTCAACTACATCTAAAAAAAAATAATGTACGAGCATTATAAATAATATTCTTGCACCAGTTGAAATCGAAGAGACTATAAATATTATTCGTAAATGCCCCTTTTCTGTGCTGGTAGATGAAAGCACAGACATCTGTACTCATAAATTTCTTTGTGTTCTTGTACACTATGTTCATCCTGATTATGGAACTATTCACACAAGATTACTTGAATTAGTTAGAATAGATGCTACAGATTGCAGTGCATTACAAATGTGTGAAGAATTTAAGAAGTGTTTGAGTACAAAACAAATTCCAATAACGAATTTGATTGGAGTTGCAAGTGATGGTGCCAACGTAATGGTTGGTAAAAATAACTCATTTTTTGCACATAAAAAATGATCTCCCAAATCTTGTGCTAATGGAGTGTATTTATCACTCAGCTGCTCTATAGTTGCTAGCATAGCAGCAGCAAAACTATCTCGTTCTCCTGAAGATTTAATTAGATCGGTAATTATGAAGTTTATCACATATTTTTGTAAACTATTCATATTTTTTTAGGTAGCAACTTACATTTCGGGTAGTGCTAAACTGCAATTCTTCAAGACATTCAACAGTTTTTTGGTGAAGAGAAGAAAAAAATATTGTAGCTAGCAGACACTAGATGGTTGGCGATGCACTAATGTGTAGTAAGGATGTTAGAATGCTGGAATAGTTTAACACATTATTTTCTTGTTGCTGTAAATGAAGATCACTTGAAAAGTGCAGAAACAATACTAGATACTTTAAACAACCACGTAGTCAAAGCATACTTTTATTTTCTAAAATATTCTTTACATTTTTTCAACTCGTTTAATGCCATGTAAATAATAAAAATATTATTATTCATGAAATCTACGGACATTCATTAAGACTCTTTAAGACATTTGCACAAAACTTTATAAAACCTGAATATCTGATAACTGATGAAATAGATAAAATTTCATTTTCAAATCCCATTATTTTTTTACCAGAGTCTGAAATATTTATTGGTTCTGAATGTGAAGATTTTATAAAACATCTTCCCAGAACAATACAGAGCGCTTTTAAAAATACATGCTTGACTTTTTATATTAAAGCTGCTGAGGAAATGGCTATTAGACTTCCAATTGACAGTAATTTGTTTCAAAGAATTTCAACTTTTAGACCCAAATATATGTCTTGATCCTACTAAAAGAAGTATGGTCACAGATTTACCATTAACGAGGGCTAAATTTCAAAATTGTATTGACAAAAATAAAGCTGTAGAAGAATGGCGTGAAATATTATACTTCTACAGCAATGAACAAGTATTGAAATTAAAAAAAACTTTGATATTCCAGGATATTGGCAGGAAATAAATAAAGCAAAAGATTTTTCTAGTGACATTTTAAAATTTTCCAACATTTGCACCTTAGCAAAACTAGTTTTGTTCTTGCCACATAGTAATGCCTCAGCTGAGCGTATCTTTTTTTGTTTTAAATGATGTCAAGACCAAGAAGAGAAACCGACTTGGAGAGAACACTGTCAATGCAGTTACTGTGATCCGTTCATCGTTTCAAGACAAAAACCAAACAAGTGCAAGCTTCAAAGTAACTAATGATCATATAAAGTTACATAACCAGAATATCTACAAAAAAAGACTAAACTTTTTTTTATATGTTGTTTTTAATATAAAATATTTTATCATTTAATCTGTGATATGTGTAAACATCGTAAAGGTCCTATGTTTTTTTTAAAGTTTTTATTATTATTTTTAGATATTTAAAAATGTTACTATTTTTTAATTTGTGATATGTGTAAACTTTGTTAAGGTCCTACGTTTTTTTTAAAGTTTTTATTATTATTTTTAAATATATCAAAATGGTACTATATTTTAATTTGTGATTTGTGTAAACATCTTAAAGGTCCTACGTTTTTATTTTTATTTTCAAATATATAAAAATGTTACTATTTTTTAATTTTTTGATATGTATAAACATCGTAAAAGTTCTACATTTTTTTTTAAGTTTTTATTTTCATTTTTAAATACATTAAGTGTTACTATTATATTTAATATATAAAATTATAATAAAAATTATATAAAACTCAAAATAGAAATAATATTGATCTCAATAAAAGTTAAATTGTACAATTATACATATAAGGCCTATGGAATGTTTGAATAAATATTTGGAGTTGTAGCCTTGTAGGTAATACATATATAAATAATAAACCAGATATCTTGGCAAAAGTAGTTTAAAGCTACTGAGTACAGACAGTTGAATTTTGTATTTATTAATATTTATGTATTAAATTAAACAAAGTACAACAGACAACAGTAGAGTGTAGACAGTAGTCACCTGTACAATACTGGGTAGTGGCCAGTGGGTACTATAATATAGAGCAGTGTCTAAAAAATAGTATCATTACCTTATACTCTGTTGTAGATTTTATATTTTAGATAATAATGAAAAATATTTTTATAATCCGCTAGTCGGCTTCACCGAAGGGAAATTTTGATTAAAAACGGGAAATTGTATAGATTCTGGTGGGAATATAGCTGAATCACCCATACCAACACTGGACACCACGGCTGCGGACGTCGCTCCGCTACCGGTCCATGCGGAGAAGTGGAGAACCCCGAACCCGGCACCCGCGGAAACCGTCACTACGGTAAACGGCACTCCGCTGCCGGTCTACAGCGTCGGGAAGCCGTCACCACGTACGTGCATTTACCTACAGGTATAATCAGAAATTTAAATAACTTTTTTTTTTATGTGTCCAATAGACCAAGCACATGTAAATACAGGATTAATAGACATGGCTTATTTTCGAAATTCGACCAAGGCATTCTGATGGACGAAGGTATGTAAAAAAAAACATTTATATATTTATGTATCATATGTTAAAAATAAAAATTATATATTTTGTAATCGTATGTTTGGTTTTATAGAGAGCTTTTATTCGGTCTGTCCCGAGGCACTCAACGCCTATATGGCAGAAAAATATGGCCTACTTATATAATATTATATTGTAATATATTTCATGTCGAGTGTTACTGCTGGGTAACGCCGCCAAAGTCAATTGTATTTTATTTTCCAGCTCATATGCTCATTGTAAATTTTTATTACAGATTGTATATATCCAAATAAATGTTAAAAAAAAAAAAAAATATTGTAATATATTAAGAAGGTACCTATTATCTGCAACATATAATAATTGTAATATTTTCTGTTTGCAATAGTCATTGCTGTAGATATTGATGCCGACCAAGCAAAATGC